AGTGCCTCTAGTATTTGGGTTTCTAAGAAAGGGAGAGTGCAAATGTATTTTCATTTCTTTTAATGTTAGCAATTAATGATGACACCCATAAACCGATGGTGATGGCCAGAGTCCAGGGCAGCAAGCCCTCCCACTGGGAGAGCACCCAAGGAATTCAGGGTCATGTGCTTTGGGCTTGTAGAGTTTCTGTCATGCTTTGAACAGGCCTTACAAAGGGAAAGCTCCACTAGCTGTATCAGCTCACAACAAGGACATTTCATCCTTCAAAAAAGCCCTTGGTCCATCATCAAAACCGCTAAATTTAACTTCATTATTTTACTGAATTCCCAATGGATAGAACTTCAAGACATGTCACTCCCTGTAATTGGCACTGGTGAGGCCACATGTTAAATCCTGTGTTCAGTTCTGGGCCTCTGACTACAAGGACTTTGAGGTGCTAGAGCATGCCCTGAGAAGGGCAACGGAATTGGTGATGGGTCTGGAACACAAATCTTATGAGAAGTGGCTGAGGGAGCTGGGGTTGATTAGCCTGGAGAAAAGGAGGCTCAGGGGGGACCTTATCACTCTCTAAAACTACCTGAAAGGAATCTGTAGCAAGGTGGGCTCATTCTCTTCTCTCAGGTAACAAGAGACAGGACAGGAGGAAATGGCCTCAAGTTGTGTCAGGTGAGGTTTAGTTTGGATATTAGGAAAAGTTTCTTCACTGAAAGGGTGGTCACACTTGTAATGCCCTTGGAGAGCCTATTTGGGATTAACTTCCTCTAGAGGAAAGATACTGCCTCACCTGGCTCCTGTAGGAACTAAAGAGCCACATCTGCCAGCATGAGCAAGCAGAAGTTAGTCAGCATCTTTTTGAAAGGTTTTTGTGATTTCCTAAAAAAAACTTTCACACTGCAAGAGGTATTTATTTACACACTTCGTCTGATGAGTGATCAGCATCTGCTACCATCTCTAGCTTCCTCAGCTTCACATACAGCCCTGTCACCCCTGTTCTCCCAACCAGGTTTGCTGTCCTGCAACTTCTCCCTTTTCTAGTTTACTTATTAGAACCTCTGCACATCTCAGTTCAACAATTTTAAGGACAACTGTAAAACACAGAGGGATTCTTTAAACTCCACAGCAGAGGGTCCTGCCTAAAACCAGCTCTGGAATTAGACAGAAATAATAGATTCCCTTTAAAGGTCACTATTGTTCCCCAAACACTCACAGATTTATTAGAAAACTGAAGAGACTGCAGCCCCTGTTTGCATTTCGGAGTTGACAGCAGTGTGACCTACAGTAGGCACAGCCTGTGGGACTGTGCCTAACCTGGGAGCTCAGAAAGTACTCATACACCTATACAAGGCAAAGAAGAGAGCCTACTGGAGCTCTTACATAAATCTGTTCCTACAGTAGATTTATAAAATCAGTTTATAAAATACACTTATAAAATAAGTGTGTTTTTTCAGGTCCTAGTTTCTGAGAAGCACTTTCCAAAAGAGATATTTAATGAGTACTGAGTGTAGACAATAACTTAGAGATGCCATTATTTCACCGTATTTGATCTCAGTTTATGGAGTGTACAGTTTGTGTTCAACTGCTCCACGATCAACTGTGACGTTCTCATTGAGTCTATTACGGTAATGCTGACCCATCCAATCTGAGGAGAAGTTTGAAAGCTGCACTTCATATCTGCCATCTCTGTGCAGGTTCCTCAACTCTACACTATTAACTCTTAATGTCTAATCTTCTCCTTCAGCTGATCCCAGTTCAGAGAAGTCCATAAGAATCAAAGCATACACACAATTTTACTCCCATTGGAGTTTATGGGCTAGGGCGGATTTTGCCCCACAAGTGTGACATTATGCAGAACTTTATGTTGCAATTTGTAGTGAATGGGATTTACAATCACTGCTCTAACCCAGCCTTTGGTTAATGGCAAAGAAAATGGTGGCAGATTCTGACAGTTTGTGTAAATATACTCTCATTAAGCACTGGAAAAGTAAAATTCCACATCTGATCCACAGATATGGGGAATTTCACAGACTTGAAAATTCATGAGATCTGAGAAAGAATACTCCAAAAGACTCAAATTAAATATCTTGTAGGATAACAGGTTACTATCTGAAAGTACGTAGGAGACGCTGACTGGGAAGATCTGCTCAATTCAAGTTAGGACCTGCTTTTCTAATTTGTCATCATTGTAGAAGCTTCTGGGAGAAAATAAGTTAGAGCAGGAAGTGTACAAATTCCAAATTCCTACGATCAAGGATGTTTTCACAGAGAATATAGAGTGTAGTGGCATTTTTTGTGAAAATGATGGACAAAAGATTAAAACAAACAATTCATCAGGGAAGACTGAATACTACAAATAAGTCTGCAATAATTCACTGGCACCAACTTGGCAATAGTTTCCATTACAAGCTATATTCATGTTTGTGCCCCTTGTTTTTGATGCTTTCGTAGACATCACAGTGAGGATGAAGTGGTTTAAACTTTTGTTGAACACAAAATATTGCATTAAATGTGCTAGTGTTGACAGTTGTTGGGTTAACAATCATACAATACAAAATTCTTCACAATAAATAATTTTTATACTTAACCTGTTTGAAAGTGATAATGAATTCATATGACATCTGACATTAACAATGAGACAACATACTGAAATAAATACCAAATCCTCACATAAAATTTAAAGTTCAGTTATATCACAGAATGTTTGAATATTTCTAAAAAGCAACTGAGAAAAAAAGGATATTTTTTATTATCCCATGAGGAGAAAAAGATGTAACATTCAAATTATTCAAAATATATTATTCTCTTGTGTTTAATTTTAAGGCAATCAGCCTGGTCAATTTAGTAGACCTGAAGCCTTCAAGAAAATACTTTTAACATACTTTGTAGCTCTATTCAAACTAATGGTATTTTTGATAAAACATGTATTTTTGCCCATATCATACTGCATGCACAAACTTTTCACAGGGTTTATCCAAGCAATCAGTGCCCAGAACAAATAGCAAATTTTGCTGAGAACATTTGAAGTGATGTCACTTACTGTCCAGCAGCTGCTGTACTAGCAATATCATAAAATAAATACCAACACCTTTTATAGTGATCTTCTTTCATGGATTTAGAAGTGTTCTGCGATGAAAGATAAGCACTGACTTCCACATTTGCCCCCTGCTCATGTGCATACGCACTTCAGTGGTGGCTTATCTTGTCATTGCAGGAGACAGAGCAAAGAGCAGGTGGAAGGAGCCAGTGCTGCAAGCAACCGGGCTCTCGAATTCTGTTTAGCAATTTCAGGCATCGATATGAACTGAATGCTTGAACCACCCTCAGCTTGACTATTGGAGTACTGACTGGGAAAGGCATGTGAACTGTAAAGCTTGCCTGTTTCTCTCAACTATCCAAGCAAAATAAGTGTCTCTTTGTATTAGCTTGGCCTCTCCCGTATCCCTTCACCATCATGTCCTCTGCCCTGCTGGTGCCATGACAGCTTTGAGTCTAACAATGAAGAACTCTAACTTTGCCTCTGGAGTTCTGCTAATGTAAAAATCTGGTGTAGTGGGTGCCAGTAATTTCAAAGTAAATTGGTCAGTGCTGAAGGTAGCAAAAGCAGCAAGTATTAAAGTCTAATTTGACTATCAGTTTGACTATCAGTTTCCTCTGAGACAGTTTCAGGGTAACTGTGATATTCTTATTAAATCTTAATTTTCATCCGATTTCAATATTAATTTTCAAAATACGTCAGTGTGTCTTTTTAAACATACCAGTTTGTGACTCTTTTATTCACCTGAAAAATATTTATTTCTTTCTTGGAAAGTTATCCACATCAACTTCTTTTACAGAAGGCAACCATCCCACAGGGGCTGTTCCTCCTACTCAACCATAATGTCTCTCATGCAGTGTGTTCCTGCATTTGTTTCCTTTGACTGATCAGGGCTAGTGTCTGATGTATCCTGTCCCCTTACTGAAGAAGGCCTTTTAATCTGCCCTTTCATCTTTCACTGCAGGCAGCTCTCCCTTTTCCATTCCCCTTCCCATCTCTGTGGTTTATCTTTCCTGAAGGTTATAGCATTCTCCAGAGATTTAGTCAGACAGTGGTAATGAAGACTTGCCTTAGGAAATTAGGTCAGATATCTGTAACTTTTAGGATTAGCATAACAGATGCCATAAAGCGAGTTTATGCATAGGTACGTGGCAGCTGATGATTTGCAAACCAGAATTAGGTTTCCTGATATTGATATTCTCTTCTTGTTCCCTAGTGTCCAAGGCATGCTGGTCCACGTATAGCCCTCCTCTGAACCCCTGTCCCCATGAGCAACTTGATAACCAGGGAGATGGATAAGCATCATGTCCTCAGAAACTTCCTCAGGTTTCTTGGGGGGTAAAGGCTGGTGACTGCCTGTGAAGGATCAGACTCATTCTGAAACTGCCCTGAATTCGGAGTTAATCACTGGATATAATCACCAGCATGACACACTCAAGGTAGAAATTGCCAAAGGATAACGTGGTGAGTCCCATTAAGGAAGAAATATTGCTTAGAAAGACCTCACAAATGTGACATATGTAGCCAGCTCATGGGAAGAACACATCCAACTCAGGGACCAGCCAGACTTTTCCTGTATCATTCTTTCCAAACGGTGGAGTATAAAGACATGGTTACTGTCAAACCCAATTTGCAGAGCAACCCACTCTTTGAATGCCTGCATCAGTCGTCCTGTTTATCTAACCCTTTTCACAGTCTTTTGAAAGGTTTTTCTTACTTCTTTTCTTACTTCTCCCAAGTGCCCTTATCAATGTACTTATGTTCCCATAGCACTTTCATTAAACCTGCTGTTGTCTCAGGTCCATGTCTCCTAATATCTAATCTAATTCCAGTTGCTCTGAGTAAATAATTTTGCTGCTCTGTCTACCTCTTGGCTCATTCCCTACCTTGCTGTTAAGGTAGTTAAGAAAGTTAAGAGCTGAATAAATGGAAGCCCTGTGGCTTTTAAGTAGACGAATGAGCATTTGTTCTCATTCCTAAATTCATCTCACTTTCAATTTGTGACCATGACTGAGCTGGAAATGCAGACTATAAAAAATGGCTTCTCAGATGTTGAGGCTGTGGGTTATGAATTTGCCAGGTAAGAATAACTGAAACATGTATAGAGATAGCGACTCAAGGTGTATACAGCACATATACAAGAAAGGTAACTTAAATAGATGTGTCACAGAAATTTTTCTGTTTCAAATTCCTGATTTATACAGAACGTAGGTGTTTGGGGGCAGAGGAGCCAAAGGTAAGGAGCAAGACAAAAGAAGATGAATCTGTGAGATTTAGGCCTGGATTCTAGGTATGTTTTTTTCTGATAATAAAGCTTTTTAAGCTTGAGATGTTATCTGCTGTTATTATCCCAGTCTGGTTGTTCCTTCACCATCCCTGGAGGTGTTTACAAGGTGTCTGTTGTGGTCCTGTGTGATTCGGGTTAGTAGTTTAGGGGTTACAGTGGCAGTGCTGGGTTCACAGTTGGTTTTGATGATCTTGAAGGTCTATTTCAAGCTTGATGATTACATGACTTTATGATTCCTTTGCACAGCAATCAGTAACTACTGATACACAAATTGTTTTGGTGTCAATTCATAAACTGCACCATGGAAATGATCAGGGTAAACAAAAAACAACTTCACCCACTTGTTGCCTCTGCCACTCTTAGCCACACAGATCTTGCCTTTTACCTTAGGAGAGAAGTTGCAGTTCCTGTCAACCAGGGCAGTTGCATTATCTGGTGTTAGACTGAAAAGACAGAATTTGGGAGTGATGACTAGCTTATACTGCATTTCTGCCTCTGCTAAACTAGTCTGGCACTATTCTCATCAGTTCTCCCCTTGTTAACAGGAAAGGAAGGAAGAAGTTTTCCTTCTATACGTGCTAACTTTACAGTCTCAGTAACAATCCAGTGCTGCACATATGATTCAGATAAAAATATCATATGAAGCTGGCAAAATCAAAACGAAAAACACTGTATTAGTAATGCACATCCGGCCATTGTTGTGATGTGCCAGCATCATAAATGCAAAGTACAACGGATGGAGGTTTGTTAAATTAAGTAATCCTTAAACTATATGAACTGCGTATTCAGTTTGGCTAACCACAGGGAGATGAGGGCTTATTCTAAGAAAAGGCAGGAACGATGCTCAGCATGTACTCAGCAAACAAATATTTTCCTAGAATATATAAACTGAGAGATTTGCTTATCCTTTCGTATATATAAAAAGAATTCCTACTGATACCACGCATGTTTATATATAAAGTACAGACTAGACTAATTTTGTGCATTGGCTATATCAAGTCTTCCTTGCTTTTAATGATACCACACTATAAAAGAACCTTGAAAGTAACCTTAATCTCTAATTATTTTTTTAGTTCTTTAGCTAATATGCCTGTTATTATTTGGGAAAACAAAACTTCAACTGAAGAAAAAAGTCAGACTACCCTTTCTTCCTTCCTCTCCTTCCTCCAGATGAAATATCAAATACTGAATTACGCAGATGAAGGCTTTAGCCAACAATTTCAACATCACAAAAACAAGAGTCATCCCAGTTAGCATGACTGTGAAGTATGCTATCCAAAATATCAAGGGTGGAACAAATAATCAGCATTCTCCTCTTAGAAGGAACTGTTCTATTGTCAGATTTTGAATCCCTGAAACAATGGATAGCCCCATGACTTCAAAAGGATCACATGAAAAACAGAATATCTGTCAAAAAAAGGACAACAGATTCTGACTCAATAGACCCTAAGTATGTCACTATGAAGCATTTTGATCTCTTGCTACCCTTGAGGTATTCGTCCTGGGAGTAGACCTCTAGCACTCTTGAGATCAAACCAGCATATTTCCTGAATGCTATACTAATACAAACATATTTTGAGGAAAAATAAATAATTGAAACAAAACAAATTATGCAAAATGTTGGTCTTATTGATATAACTGAAAAAATATCCAGTGGTTCAAAACAGTCTTCCAATCTCTTATTATATATTTAGCCTAGCATTTACCTCACCCTAAATTCGCTCTCCTCCTTTTACTGTTCAAACCTCTACAGTATTATCCTAGTTTGGAGGGAGCCATCCACTATTAACATAGTTCTTAGTTACTTTGAAGCCAATTTATCTGAGACTGAGATACAGCATCCCTTCTTTTCAAGCTTGGTTCTTTGCAAGAGCCTTTATTGAGCCGCTTTGATGTAATTGTCTGCATTTCAGTGGTGAGTAATGCAAAACTGAAGGGCAGAAACTCAAGTAGCATTAATACTTTCTTTTACAGTATCCACAGCTTTAAAGATCACATCTAATACCTTAAATGGCCATTGCTGCCTCCAACATATACAATAAGAATCACACCCTTGGAACACTGTCTTTTTTCTGACTAGAACACAATCCTATTTAAATTTTGTAGTCACAGTACTACCCTCCTTCCCACACGGACCTCAGGTTCCTATCCCAATACCTGAGGGACAAGTGCTCTTCTTCTACTTTCTTTCCTTCTCTCTCTTACAGAGATCTAATACTAACTCTTCTCACTCCATGTGGAACCATGGTTGTCCAGACACACTGTCAGCCCAGCAGTCAGTTCTCAGTCTTGCAGACGGACATGTGTCTTCACCCTTAGCTTTCTGATCACGTCTGCATCTCCCATTCCTTCTCTTTCTCTGAATCAAAGGTGGCACACAAACTTAGTGCAAAAAAGATCCCACAAACTAAGACCTTGTAGAAGAAAAGGAAGCAGCCAAGAAATTCAAGGTGAGTAGTCTTGGGAGAGGATAACCTCTTCCAGGTTAGCACTTTCCACACCCAAGCCCCAGTGAATGTAGCCTCCAGGTCAACTCTGGAGGTATCTGGAGTCAGCCTCCATTATGGTTCACAGCCTGCTTTTGGATCCTGCTGTGTGAAAGGAAGGATGGGCATTATACTGGTGTGAGCACAGGGGTCCCATCTCTGTCAGATGTCTCATGTCGGAAGACCATTTATCTGGGATGCACTGGGTCAACACTGTGTGGCCAGCATTGTTTCCTGAATTGGTCCTTTCCTTGTCTCTCTAAAGAGTAGAAACTCTTGGTTGTATAGCCAGTCTCCTCTTATTGGTGTGAACTGAGGAAGGATACTCTGCAGTACCTTGAGTGGATGTTAGGGTATAAAATACAGCCAACTAAATAAGACAGTATATGAAACACTGAAGTGCTACCCTGGCTAACACTAATTAGTGAAATTATCATGGCATTTTTAATATGTAGTTTTGAATGGAATTAGAATCCAGATGAAAAACTGACAAAAAATAAGGGACACATTCCACTCTTCTGCTTTTTTATTTGTGTATTATCCCATGTGTCAGTAGCCACTCACAATGGTGGTGAATTGTAGTGTCTGAAAGATTTCTCTCTTTTTAAGGCTGACAAAAATGCGGACTATTACATGATATCCTAGATAATTTGCAAACATTAAAATAATACAGTCTTTATCCTGAAGTCCTCAAGAAAAATGAAAACATGAAAAAATGTAAGAGAGAGTCAGATTCCTTGAGAAATTAAGATTGTAAAGGTAGTTTGCTTTTGGAAGCATTTGTAACAGGAAAGCTAGAAATTCTTGTTTTCTCTTAGGAAGACTGCAAAGTGCCTTCTCAAGAGGGTTAGATGGTTTTTTTTCTCCTTCTGCAGTCCAGAGGGGATTACAGAGAGAGCTATGTTATCTCTCTCTCTCTCCTATGCTGGAGAGAAATAGCCCTAACAGACATGCACAGAGGCCTTGGGAAGGCGGGGGAGAAACAGAGAGGATAAAGAGGCCCTGAGCGGGAGGGAGGGAACTGGCCTTTTTTTCTCCCTCAGGCAGTGTGTAAACCACACTGTTAGGTATTTTGTAAGTTTCTTGTGTTCTGGCCTTCCAAACAAACTTTCTGAATTCTTTTCACTGTCTTGGCATTTCTGGGGCTACCTACGTGTCTTACATTACATAGGTTAACTCAGCTGCCTCTGTCACTAAAAAATGTTTCAAATGGCCTTATTTTAGAGGGGGATAAGTTTGAAGAATATAAGGGAAGGGAGAGCAGGGGAAAGTGGGAGTTGTGGGTAATCAGATATAGGAGCTGGAACAAATAGTCAGGTATAAGAGAAGGCAAACGCTCTCAGATGAATAATCCAGAAATGAGTATTTTCTGCAGCTGCTTGTCCATACTGAGTTGCTGGTAGGTTCCAACTGCATTTAGAAGGGAAAAAAAGCATTATTGTAGAGCTGGCATATGTAGCTAGCTGTTTAACCTAAACTTTGCTTCCCAGTTGTGGTGTGGGGAATGGAATATGAATGAAACAATTACCCAGAACATGCAATCAGTCTGGGATTCATGCCATGAAGTATGATTTAGGTCAAGAGTCCTGCAGAACTCAGAAAAAGTCTTGGACATGTGTGGGTAAGAAGAACATCCAAAATAAGCATTTCTAAAAGCCCACAGGAGTTTGTGGACGGAGTTAGGCTTCAAGGCAGAACAACGTCTAACTAACATGGGTTAAGAAGAACATCTCTGTGGCCAGTTCATTCTGTAACATTTTCTGAAGCAGCTGATAGAGGTCCTAGCAGAAGCAGTGTGCTGAACTAGCGGCTGTTGGCATGACTGTATATGCCAGTCTCAGATTTCTTACTGCAAAGGGGAGATCTGTTTTCAAATGTCCAAAAATCCAAAATAAACATTTCTGATGGCATTAAAGCTAGGGAAAGTATTTCTAAAGGCTTACTTGGTGCATGTTTGTATTCCTCTTTGAAAAATTACTTTTATCTTTGTTTTCCTCTGCTATATCACATGAAAAAGAAATCCTAAAGTACATGAGATGTTTCCCATGTAAACAAATTCCTTCCTTCCAGAGGAATGTTATATGATGATAGGGTATGTGAAATGGTCTCAGTGATCATGTGGTAAGTGAGATCATGAGACACTGCCTGCATTAGGGTTGAATGTAGTCTACTCAAATGTTTTTGGGATCCCTGTGACAGAATATTGATGGAAAGCAAAACCACAAGCACTGGGCAAACAGAACCTTACCTACCTCCTGATGTTGTCAGGGCCTAAAGTTTTGGTATAAAAAGTGTACAAACTCCTTGTTGTTACTAAAACTAATTTAGCAGATAAATAAACAGGCTTTAAACGGTTTAAGAATGGCATAATTTGGGTAGTATTATTGTTTTTCTGCAGTTCTGGCAAATTATCTTGGAATGTAACTAAGTTCTGTTCAGCTATCAGAAATCTTTGCCTCTACACAATTCAGGGACCGTTTCTGTCCATCACTTCGTGTGAAGATGTCAATACTGAGCAGCTGATTTTTCAACACTTTTTTGCAGTGAAAGACAATGTTCCTTCAGAGTTTAGAAAATCTTTTACTTTGACCACTCTTGTTTTGTTAACAGAGGAAATAGACTAATGTTTAAAACTCAGTATCTTTGTTTCATTTCTCAAAAAGAGTAATGTAATCACAATATATTCAGATGGTTATTCTACAGGGAAAAATCAAAAAGGAAAAAACCAAACAAAAATTAATCCGTTGCAGTACTTTTAAGATACCAACTGTGGTAACTAAAGCAAAACAAAAAATGGTATGGATCTCGTCTTAAAGAAATGGACCCAATGTGAACATCCTGTGAACTTTGAAGGAAAAGTTCATTTGCATGTGGCTATTCCGGCTTAATTGTAATAGCGCATGCTGTGGTTCCATGAGCAAATGGTATTTTACTATGTCCACGAGTTTCTCAAATAAAATAATTAGAAAAAATATTACTTAGATCTGAACATGATTTTTTTTTTTTGTAATAACAGAGGTGTTTATATTTTATTTTTTTTTTAAACTTTGGAAAGAAGCATTCAAATGATGTTCAAAGCTGAAAAATCTGAAGTTGGGTAGCAATAGCTACAGAACTGTGTCTTTTAACATGGGCAGTAATAAGTTAAAACTCTGATTTAAATAGCACTGATCAGTTCCACTGATCCAACCGGAATTTAACTCTTCATACCATATCTTAGGCCAAAGGATGTCTGAAAAACCCACCTCCACAGATAGGAATCTGTTCAAGATCTGGAGCACATAGGATCTCTTTTTATTAAGTGACATTCAGTGATGACAAGAATGGGCAATTTTGGTTGCTCTACCTACACTTTTTACTTCTCCATCATCTGGCCAACTTAAAATGCTAACCAAGCATTTGAACAGTAAAAATTCAACTCACCATGTACTTTCAAGACTTACATGGATCTTGTGGGTCATGAAAGCATAGGAATAGTGCTGGGCTTCTTGCAGACAACCAGAAGACCAAAGCATAGGCACTGTATTAGCACCTATATTTAGTCACCATTACCTGTGATGGAGCTGCTGCCTAGGTTACTATATCTGCGGACAACTGTGAAGGAAAATGAATGCATTTGATTAACACCTTGGGAACTGTAAACTAATGGTTTTAATACATACTTTAAAGCCAAAGCTAACAGTAAAACCTATTTAGATTCCCTGACACCTCCCATTTAATGGCTTTTTTTTTTCAGGTATTTGTAACATTGCCAAGTTTCAATCATTTGGGATAAAATTTTCCATCTTAGGTGTCTCCATTTGACAAGTTTTAAATTTTTTGTTTGTTTGTTTTGGGTATATTACAGTAAAAATAACTTGGCTGCTTTCAAGGACAAGGCTATGGAAAAAGAAGTTTTGTCCATGTGAACTGACTCCAGTGACCTTAAACTGAGTGTTTCACATTTCAGATTAAAACCTAGGACAGAGGGAGGAGTGAGCACACTTCATATCAAGGATGTGACTTTTGGCATCCCTCTGAAATCTGACCCTAGTTGATTAAATTTCATACTATTGGGGGGTGGAGAGGGGTGTGTGGAGAAGGAAGTTCACACATGTTCAGTAGATCAAGATTTTAACAGTTTAATTCCGCAAAGTTGTCACCCCTAAGAGGCTGAACATGATGTTATCATGACTTGAGCTTCAAGTGCAAAGTCTGAGCACCCAAACTAAGGTCAGCAAACACTTTGTTGGGTTTCCCAATGATACCCCTTGATTTAGGGAGTTAAAAGTAGAGGAGAAAAGAACTTGGTCAGAGAGAAGGGAGTAAACTGTGATGAGAGTAAGTCACAGGATACTACTGAGTGGGATGGAAAGAGATAAGATAGGCTACGAAAACAGTACACAGGGCAAAGATAAAGATTGTCGATATAATCGTAACTGATGAAGTAAAGACAGGTTTGCATAAGGTTGAGAGATTTGATAGAAGACCAACTGCCATCTCAAATTTTAACATTTCATAGCCTCAACTCATAGTATTAATTTTTAAAATATATCTTCATTGCAATTGCTTGTAGAGATGAGACAATTATATTACATATAACTCTTCACACTCCTTCAGACTAAACCTCAACTTATTTTTCTGCTGAAGTAAGAAAATTTGAAGAGAAAATATGAATTGCTTCAAGTTAACTTCTAAGATAAACATCTCTTTCTCTCAGAAATTACAAGAAATTTTACTTTACAAACAAATGTCCAAACACTCAAAATTACTGTAAATTACTTTATTTCAATAACTGAAAATGGGCAAGTACTCTAAATGATATAAATTACTTTTAAACCTGAGCATTTCAGGTTTAAAGGACATAAACACTTCAATGCAATGCCTTGCAAATCATTTTAGAACAAGAAGTGGAGGGCAGCATAATTCAAATAGATTCAAGTTCAGACACTGACCTCACCAAGAAATACCCCATACTTAAGTAAAAAGAAAGTGCTTGGTTCTGGTTTAAAATCTCCATTGCTGTTTGGTATTCATGACAGAGAAGTCTGTGCCAAAACTGATTCAAGTGTTCAAACCAGCACCAATGTGAGGATAAAGGTACCTTTCAGTCAGCCCAGTGTTAATCATCCTTTTTGTTCTCAGAGACAGCTTTAAATCCTGTATTTCTAATAATTTTTCTGATTTTGACCTCAGCAAGATCAATTTTTGGACTCTGAGTGAGATCTGACAAGCAATTTGGCTATAGCTCCCCCCACACAGCTTCAAAAACTGCTATTGGACATGTTCAGTGTTTGTCTCATTAAATGATGGGCAGTATCATTTCAATCTTTCACAAGACTGAGACCAAGAAAGCACAATACCACTGAGTATTTTGATGCTATTAAATGTTGTTAATAAAGTAATTGCTAGAGTTCCAGAACCATGCAGATGCCATCCTTCTATTATTAACATCCCTAACCTCCTAAATATCACATGGAGATCTAGGACATGTCCTTGAAGCGCATCATACCATGATGCAAAGTGAAAAGTCAAGTGATATTGGACCATGTCTTGCACTTCAAGTCCTCCCTAATGTATAGCAATTATATGGTGTCTTATACCTTTAAAATATCGCTCATTATTGCCTAAGCCCTGTTGGTAGATGCTTCTAGGTTTTCTTTTCTACTAAGTCACCCTGATCCCTGTCTTTGCAGAAATAAAGAAGGCTGCTACTAGAATCCATATTTCTTCCCCACTGTTTATGTCTTGTATCGTTAAAAACAGCAGTGAAAAAATCTGTGTCACATAACTTTCTTCCCCACCATGTCCTCTCTCAAACTCTCTCCTATTACTACATTAATTGTCCTAGCAGATGAACTGCTGCTGTGTAGAGGGCTGAAACATTGGAGAAAAAGGATCAGGCATACTGAAAAAAGATATTTTCTGCTGGAAATATATTATATCTTCTACAGGCAATTCTGACAAAACTTGTGACAGAATTTCAAATAGTGAAATATTTCAAATGAAAACCAGACTTATTTCAATTTCAAAATTATTCTTAATGCAAGCTGAAGTTTGCATGCCTCATGACTTGATTTTTCTGGGATGGACTCAGATGGAAGTTTTGGGCCAGACAATTATCCCATCATATCTTGTTGTCCCCTTCTAGAGATGTCAAAGAATCATATGAAAAAAAAATTCTTTGCAAATAAAAGTACTTATACTCTAGTTCAATAAACTGATTTTTTTAATTGAATGTAGATTTATTTTTCTTCCCAATATGTATCATATAAGACAACTGGAGAACAAGGAAAAGTAAATAATCTTGCTTTTCAATATTTTTGAATTGAAACTCAGCAGTGCTTGAAGAAAACATAAAAGAAGTGATTAACAGTGAACTAGTTACACAACCTTGTGACAGCTCTCTTCCCTCCTTGCTTTGTCTGTAAAACCATGGTTAGCACAAATCAGAGACACCATGCCTGACATCACTGCTAGCTACCAGGTGAATGGTCCTAACAGTGCCATTTGCAAAGCAGGATCATGGCCTAGGGGCGAGTGGACATGGCATCTAGAGCAGTGGCACCAGAAAAAATAAACACTTTATTCAGATAAACTGTTTCTAATGGCTATGATAGTGTTTGCATGATCTAGATTTTAAGAGACTGACAGCAATGGTTCAATCTGTGACCTTTTTTTTTATAAGAAAGAGAATAAAAATGCTAAACACCAAAATTTGTAGTTTAAAAGCTATTCATAGTACCATCTCTTCTGTTTCTTTTTTACTGGGAAAAGGAAAAAAGAGTTCCCTAATACAACTGCAAGAGAACTTGGCATTGGTAGTGTATTCTGTATGCTTTGTTGATTGTACTGCTGAGAAGAATAACAATGAAATCAAAGATAATGGGGAAAAATTGTCTTCAAACACAAAAAAGTGTGATAAGGCTATAGAAAAAACCCCAAACAAAACCAAATCCCTAGCTTTCAAAAGAAATGAACTGACATTAACAAGAAATACAGAAAATTAAAGCAAATTACCTACCTTAAGACTGACACAAATCAATCTACTTTGACTGTTCTTTAATAATATGTAAGTCAAGACGTAATTAAAAAAATATATCTCAAGTTTATGGTTTTCCAGAAAGCCATGCTACCAGTCTCTCATAAATTCTGTAGTGCAGTATTAACAAAGTCCGTAAAATTTGGGCTAACACAGAAAACATAAACTAAACAATGGAACAGCAGATACATTTATCATTTACACTAGAGAAAAATCCATATTTTATAACCTCAACTCCTTAAGAAAATTTGCATTTAAAGTTCTTGCTGTCAATGTAGTGTTGGGGGGGTTTCTTTAAATTTTATATTCAGATCTGCCTCCATTAATAATGAGCATCTTCACATGGAAATTGTTTATATAAACAATAATATTTTCACATCTTTGACACAGATAGTGGTGCAAGGCTGGCAAACTCATAAGAAAATGAAAGTACCTTAGTATATGTCCCACAGTTAGAGAGAGAAGCGCTGCACAGCTGGTAGCAGTTCTTGTGATGCAATATGTAGACCAGTACAACACTAATATGGATGTGAACATGTGGATCTGGCTTGATACGGCTCTTTGCTCACTGAAAACCTGTCTTCTGACAATTTAAAGTGTCTGAGGAAGTATTCAGATAGTAGAAATAGATCTTACTGAACGTACGACCTCCAAGCTAGTTTAAGCGCGTTTGCTGTTTCTGTACTCAATACAGAGAGACATTCCACACACCTACACTTTCTGGACAAAAGCCCTATGTCCTGCAAGCCGGTGCAGTATAAATTAATTTTACAATATTATAGTGATTTACACCAACAAGTCTAGAGTTCAAGACCAGTCAGAAAATAAAGAGACAGATTTAAGATGCAGAAAGCATGTTTCAAGCAGTGCCTGAAGGCACTGCAGAGAATTTAAAGAGGAAGGCTTTAAGGCTATCAACTTGTCTGGTACTTTTCATAAGCATTAAATTATCTTAAACAATCAGTAAAAGTCTTTATTTCTGAGGTGATGAGTGATACAACCCTGACTGATCCAAGTCTAGAAATGTATCATTTATGAAAGAAAAAGGAAACAAGAATCAAGAATCTCTAAACCTTTAATCCCGCTAATCCTCTTTGCTGCAAGGCTGTGGCACGGTGTTAGTCAGACATCTAATTATACACAGGAACAATGATTGCCTTCCAGCAGGATGACACAAAGCTTCACTCTGAGAGGTCATCAAATCCTGTCTCACTTTGTACATTTGCTTTTATTGGCCACCTCGCTCTTTGTGCCACCTCCAGCACCAGGAAGCAGATGGGACTTCCTTTCCATCCGGCCGCCAAGCAGGAAATGTTTGACTCTTTGACAGCCACAAACAGACAGCCAAGAGCTGTGGTGGAAGAGCACAAGAGGAGCTGACAGCTTCTCAGACAGTGCAGTGACTTCTGACTGGTGGACTATGAAGATTGCATATGTACTCTCCCATCCTACCCAAAATTGAGCATTCTTGAAAGATTAGAAATGTTTACCTCAGGTACAAATGGTGGAAATGGGACTAATTATTCTGGAAATCAATCTTGAGAAAAATCACTTGCTCACATTATCCAGATACTAGCAATGACAAGACCGTGCTTGTTCTAGACTATATGTTTCCTGTGTCCTTCGTTCTAAGCCCTCCTTAGTTACATTTGAAACTTAATTTTGCTTTCTTGCTACATTAATACAAGGGAGAGGTTTCTCATCTAAGTACAAAAAAACCCCCAAACTGGGCCTCATTAATGAATAAACCTGTAAAGTATTCAAATTCAGAACAACCTACTGTGAGTACTGCAATATGGGGTACTTTTGGAGTATAACATGAATTTGAATTATCTTTGTTTTCTAACTTTCTTGTAATTAATTCTAAACAGATCTATAAATACAAATACAACTCTCCCATAATATTAATACTTTTATCTACTCAACATAGAAGGCACCTCTAGAGACCAAACCTCCTATTCAAGGCAAGGACAACTAGACCAGGTTGCTCAGAGGCATGTCCAGATGGGTTTTGAACAGTCTCTCTAGGTAACCTTTTCAGTCTTTGGTCACCCTCAGTGTAAAAAAGGTTTTTCTCATGAGTAAATGGAATTTCCTGTGCTTCAGTTTGTGCCTACTACCATTTGTGTATTCACTGGATACCACTGAAATAACAATAATAAATATACATAAGGCTAACACAAAACCATGAAATACTAAGATAAAAAGGGATAAAGAAACAAACCATGAGTCAAACAAAATTGATAATAAGATTAAGGATAGAAGAGATTATTAGACCAGTTCATGTGATCCTAGAAATCACAGACTAAGAAGTTTTATCAGGGCATTCCTTTACTGAGAATTGATTTTATGTTATTGAAAAGGGCATTTGATCTTGATAACAGAGAAAGCAAAAATTGTTGCATATTAAATTAGGTAGGATTAAAAAAAATTTTTGTTTTGCACTCTAAATTTCTTCCTCTTTATATTGATGGAAACAGGTCCACCTGGTTTAGATACTTAGTCTATTTATACATGCACTTATTTGCTGTTATATGTTCTTAGTTTTGGTTGTGTGTTTTGGTTTTTTTTAATTCCCAGGCCCTGCATTGCGTGTCACAAATAAGAGAAAAGTCCTGCATGAGCATCCAGCTTATCCAGTTCTTTGTCTGGGTGGTTGGAAGTCTGAGCACTGTATAGATATCTTGCTGAAATTCTGTTTTCAAACTTGACAGAATTTTCCATGTCTGACTCTGTGAACTTTTTTTGCATTCACACTATCTGTCTTCTTTACACTTCTTTTTGATGAGTTCTGCCTTAGTTTTAGCCTTCATGACTGCTGGTGAGATCATACATAATGTTTTGCCTCTGAGTAACCGGTCTCTTAGCTTTGTGTAGACCAAGAAACAAGTGGCTCCCCCAGTATGGATAGATACAATTTGGGCGTATATTGAAGCAGCCTCTATAAATGCAGCATTTCATTTTCTCTACAGTCAGAATAAGGGTTTTTTCAGCATCCCTGGAAGCAATTCTGTTAGCTGAAGCCTGTATGTGATTTAAGCTAACTGGATCTCACCATGTCTCTTCTAGGAAGACTATGATTACTTTTGCCTCTGCATGATTTCTGCTGTATTTCCAGACCATTGATTTACACTTCTGCATTATGTAGCTTAGTGACAACACCGATTTTATGATAAATTTTATGGTCTGAAAAGTGTTCTGAGAACATTAAAATCAGCTATGCTGTACCATGATCTTATCTCTTTGCAAGCACGTTTTAATTGCTGAAAAATAATTTTCCACAGACATAACTATCAGAAGAGACTCCTCAGTATAATGTAAGCGACAGCAGAATACAAAAATGAGCTTTAGAGCAGTTCTTCTCCTTAATTTAAAAAAATGCTATTAATCAACTTACTGACCAGGTAAGAATTGAAATAAAAGTACAGGGAAATAATAGCCTCTATTTAGCCATATCACAACTATTTACACCTCTTCATGTTGCTAAAATATTCCCAACAGAACTGACAGTCCTTAACAAAAACAGAACAATCGGGGATTAGTGTCAATTACATTCCTTGGCATTTGGTAAAAATTAAATCATATCATGACTAAGGAGGAGAGTAGTTACCTCTGACATTCAGTTCTATCGTTGTATGAAGCACTCAGAAGTTATGCCAGTTTTCAAAAACATATTTACATGTATTTTTAAGGTGACATACTAACAATGATCTACCCTGAAGAGCTGACAAGCAGTAACTATTAATTTCATGTGATTTATTATCTCCTTATAAATCTCAGATAAATATCTGAAATATTTCAAGCTGTCCAGTACTAGGGAGGTGAATAATGAGAAATTAATTACCTATTCATATTCCGATTTCCCTTTTTATTACATAAACATAGG